CGCGCGACAATACGGCGTGAAGAGGTATCGCGAACAATCGCTCAATCGCACTAATTTTTCCTTTCGCGAGGAAGAAAGGCTTTGCCCTTTAAATTCCACGCCCCGACGAAGAAAGGGCGCGATTCAATATTCTATAAAAATTAAGTTTATTTCTTAGCTGATTGCCTTGCGTTACGGTAATGTTAGGTCCCTGGCGAGAATTGCCGCGGATGTTCGTTCCTGAAGCACCGCAAAGTGGCTCTCCGCAAAGATCGGAGAAGCTCGATTAGATATACGATTAGATTATACGCGCGTTGCATTTCACTCCTTCCGAGCTACCGATGGCTCCCGTAACGTCACATTTCCGTAGACACGAGCCGTTTGTTCCGAAAAAAACCGACGTACAAGACATACCATGAAAATCTTGTAAAAGTAGATATCTTCCACTCCGATTTGTACTTGTACCTAACTCGAACTCGGTATCTCTTACAAAACATCTAGCAAAACACACGGCCCGTACACGCAATTGCAATCGCGACAATCCTCGGTAGGACCCACGCAATAAGGATAAGGCCCCTGCACTAACAGATTGCTCTACGCCACAACGATATGATCGCAATGAATGCTGACATTTGCTATCTCTCTCTTACGCCCGTTTCACTTTTCCATTTTTCCTTCCCCGCTATCATGTCCGAAGGACGAGTCGGGTTTCCCTGTGCCCGCTTTCTCTCTCTCTTTCTCTGCGATTTTGCTGCTGATTCTCTTCTAACTCTTGTATGCACCTTAATGTAATGAGGGGGAAGGAGCGTACGTACCCGGGACTTTTCAACGATCGCGTTAGTCTTTCCTTTCTTCCTTCCTCTCGCAAAAATTCCATACGAGCGAAAATAACCGCGTCCTCGTTGAAACATTGGTCAGCGTCAGTTGCTCCGAAGTTAGGTCTAACCGTTGTATAAACGCAAGCTTTCTTACATATAAATGACTTTTAGCCAACAGCACAGATAGCTCTGACTAACTAACAGTTTAGATATTTCTCGTTTCTGCCGAGAACACATCCCTATCTATAATACAGAAAGCATTATATCGTTAACTGCGGTTAGTGCTAACTATTGTTGGTGCAACAGATCTTGGGGAGGGGGGAGGGGAGAGGGGGAAATATAATCTTCTAACGTGTCCTAATCCTCGTTGATCGTTCTTAGATTACTCCTGCGTTAGATACGTGTTTCTTTCCGATATTTTTTTTTTCTTTTTTTCGAACACGCGATAGACGATATCTTAACGATCACTAGAAGCTACAGAGAGTCGATTGAATCGAAGTGCCTATAATAGGTGCCCCGAAATATACAATTAATCGATTTCTGAATGACGATACACGCCGGATAAATACAGCTAGGCTAGGTTATCGGAGCAAAAGAGATATTAATTATTCGTATCCTAGTCATATGTGTCTTGGATATGCTTCTGGAATACGTCAGTGCGACAAAAGGACATCTTCAGATAATAGGTAGACTGAAAGCGATAACGAGAAAACCATCAGCTACAACAAATTGCCTTAACTGGCCGCTTACGTACGCAGATTAAGGAAACTTCGTACTTTCTTAAAAGTATCCGAAAGTTCGCTTCCAAATTTCTTAGAAATTTGTTTCTTTCATAAAAATTTGTAATAATTTTCGATAACATTCAAGCCGATAATTATTGTACACGTATCGAGTAAAATCTTTATAAAATAAGGCGAAGCAAATCCTAGCTAATATTAAAATTTCAATTAGTTAGCGAATAAACAACTTGAAATTTTATCCAAATCACAATTAGTGGCGGACAAACAATTTGAAATTTTATCAAAATTAATCCTAGGCTCTTCTCGTCTGCGTTGTTCCTTGGCTCCCAAGTGATTTTCAATCAAATATCTTCGAGTCGCGTCGTCCTTTAATTACTTATGATAATGCCAAGTGAACCAATTTGAAGAGTGAATGGGATTTTCAATTAAAACAATGCTTCCCGATTGATTTCAATCTTTTCTAATAAATAGAAAATTAGTTATTTCTGACTTCACATAATTCTCTGAAACAGTTTTCAGTTTCATCGAATCTCCAAAGTTCTAAAAAGTTTTCAGTTTTTATCTCATTCAACCTTTAATCCCATTCACTCGTCATTATTGCTTCATAATTATTAGTACAATTAATAAATCACGCGTCCGTATTAAGAACTGCTTTTTAATTTTTATACCGTGTCGTATACGTTCCTTAAGAAGAATATCACTAATTATTGCTCTTGACACTTAGCCTGTACCATAGTAAACTATTAAAATCGTTTTTTGATATTATAGATAACTTATGATGTTCATAGAAATGTAAAATTTTTCAGAAACTATATTTAGATTATTCCAACACAAGTATCTACTTTGAAGTTTAGAAAATTACAACATTTATAATAAGCAATAATAAAGATAAAATACAATACAAAATGTTCCGATTTTTTTCTCTACTTTCATAAACACGCATTTTACGAACGTCATACGCAGAGGCTTTTAAAAACAAATAAACATAATTTTCCATTATTATTTACGTTTGTTAAGAGTCGTAGTTCATAGCAATATAAAAGTTCCGAAATTATCATTAAAGGGGAAAGTATACGTCACGTTGCTTCGTAAAAACGCATTCGAAACCTAACGGAAGGTAGTCTAAGCGTGTAGCTGGTGGTCATCATTTTACTATTATGTTCTTTTGTGCGCGAATAAGAAACGTGGTTCTTCCCCCTCGACGCACTTGGAAAGGTCACTAAGCGTGAAGGTTTCTTCATCTCTCTTGTCCACTTCAAATGTTCATTTTAAAACGATACTTCTGTGCAGTTCTGCATTCCTGACCCTTCCAGTACCCAAGTGGTATATTATCAGCTTATTATCTTTTTAACAGTGACGTTCCGTATGTGAATATTAAATACACAAGATCTTTAACCTATGTAGGATTGATACAAGTTTACAAATATAAAATATCCTCCCAAGTTCTAAAATTGGCTAAAATGGAATAAAAAAGATAGATCAAATTTTTACATCTGATTTGGTACTGAAAGGATTTATCAAGAGACACAGAGTTCGAGTGGGAAGAGATCATAATTTATCTTTACGTAAACGCGCTTGTCTTCCGCTTTTTCCGTTTAACGGTTTAATTTTCTTTCTCTTCAATCTAATTTAATTATCAGAGAATGATTTATAAGGATCTCCACACTTCCTAGCGTTTGGATAATACCTCTGCTGACGATTCGAGAGGGTTATACGCACGCGCGCACGTACATACTTCAGTCGCTTATAAAGTGGGTCCTAAAAACCTCCCCTATCCTCTTGTCGCGTCTTTCTCTCTTTCTCTCCTCTCTTTGTCTCTCTTTCGCGCTCGTAAACAATCATATGTACACTCACATGCACTCTTTCTTCCTTTTCCCATCTCTTTCTCTATCATATATCAATAAGTACACCTTCATTTTTTACTCTCTCTTTCTCTCTCTCTCTCTCTCTCTCCCTCTCTCTCTCTCTCTCTCCGCGAAGTGCCTTAAAAATTGATCCTTAACTACTTACTAATATAATCGATTCTAATCACAGCAATTATTTATTGTTGATATACACAATCATACAGCGTCTCTCACTAATTGTTATTTTCATCTTTTTTTATCGACTTTTTTTTATCGACTTAGCAGAGACAACTTGTCGCTCGATGCTGTTGTTCGTCTCATGTTTTACCATTTTTTTTCTCTTACATAATTACTACTGTACGCCATCATTGTCTATCTATCGGTGGAGAATGGGGGAGCAAGGGCGTTAGCGAGGGTGAAGAGGAGATGTGAGAGGAGTGCCTTGTTGCCGCGATGAGAAAAGAGAGAAATACTTTTACTTTTTTTTTCTTCTTCAAAGTGTATAATAACAAAAATGATTTTCCATAATGTATGTATATAAATAATTATAAATAACAAGATTAAATTTTTCAAACCTAATTTTTAAATGTCACCAACAGACTCTCGCGGTTGATCGTACCAATTACTAATCTAAAGTTCATCTGACGAATTAAAAAGAAAAACGCATTGGATTCTGTACGGAATCGATTTTTCTCTCGTATACAGATTGCGTCGTAAAAGATGGTCAAATAAGTGCGTCTTTTGACGTTAACTTATTGAAAATCTAATTGGAGCTTTAACTGCAATTTTTTCAGAGTCTTTCCAGCAGTTAAATTTTGATAAAACAAATTTCTAGTGCAAATAAATTGCAAGGTAAATCAGTTACTCATTAAATTCAAAATAAGCTTTACATTAACAAAGATTTATATGTTAACATATAATTAAATGAATCCATAAAAAATTATATAACGTATTCAATTAAAATTTTTCTTAAGAAAAGAAAAATCTCTTTATCTCTAAACTCGTTATATTACTCGTTATATTATGAGTCCCATATTTAACGACACAACTAAATTTGGGCAAATTTTCTCGTGTTTCACACGAAGGAGCCATTCGCAACTTATTCATTCGGTAAACGAAATGATGAAGCGCGTGTTGCGATCAAAATGAGAAGATACGTTGATGTAATAAATAAGATGAAATCGCAGATGTCGATGCGAGATGCTGATATCACTTCCTAAAAATTCATCATATAAACAAGGATATGCTCCGAGATTAATAAATATGTACAACGTAAAAACATATTTACAATACGCATCGAAAAGAAGCGAGCACCGCAAAATATTTTCAATTAAAACAAACAAAAAGACAAAAAAAAATATATCACAAAACTGACTCCACAATATTATTCAGTTATACACAAACATAAATTAGGATCGATACAATTATCATTATTTTTTTTTTTTTTGGAAGGATTAATTTACATATATTAAAATTAAGAGCAGTTTTCTATGCGAGTACAAATCGGTTAAGATATATAAAAGTAATACGTACGCGCGAAGACCACCGATTATTAATTGAGCTGACATCGGAAGCACAGACTAACATTCTCTAGCAAAATGTTTTTTTCTTTTTTTTTCCCAAATTTTAATTTATGTTTGGCACATAATGGAAGTTATCGGTACAGGATACATCGTAAGGTGTAAATCGTCCGCGCCACAGCCAATTACATTGGCGTTAACTTGATCTTACAACAGAATTCAGAAACTAGTTATACAACTATTATATACTTCAGCAATTCTTAAACCTCATAATTCCTTTAATTTAACTCGTCTTTTAATATAAATCGAGACGAAACTAGACGCAATATAAATATCCAACAAGTCTCAAAACATGATTATTTCGCAATTTGTGTACAGACTAGTCATAAATAAAATTTACTAAAATAAAACAATCTCAAAAGGGCGTTGCACAATTGTTGCGCGCGCGCGCATTTTTCTTCGAAATAAAGTAACAATTTTATTAAATATCGATATCGTAACGACTAAAATAACGCGCGAATTAAGAGTCGATAAAGATAGTAATGAAGAAATGTACATACAAAAAACTATATTCAAAATTGATAAATAGATATCGTCATTGTGGAGCGGTCCTTACGATTCGCGAACCAAACCGCAAGTGTGGGACCAAATTCCAATGTGGGGAGGAGGGTTGAAATCGTCAATGGGAGGCTTTAAGTGGTTGATGAAGAAAGGAAAGGACGCCTCGAGTCTGGTCGAGTCTGGGCTTGAGCTCGCACCTTTTCATCGCTATTTATCTCTTCTCTAATTATCTTTATCGCGTATAATAAATATATATATTATGTGTATATATATATAATATATATCATTATTTATATATATTCCACGTAATAATTTCATTTGTTCCTTCAACAGAAGCGCGCCCTCGGCATCGTTCCCCAGCGACGACAACGTCGGCCGTATTCGACCCTCGATTTACAAGATTTACCGCGAAGAGGCGTCGAAGGCGTCCAGGGCGCGTCTCACGTCGAGGACGATGCCGAGGGTGCACTAAGACGCGCAACCCTCTCGTTCCTTCGGCGCTTCCGAGGGCCGCCGAACGATCGACGGGTGCGAACGCGTCCGCGGTCGTTTTTTTTTCTTTTTTTCCATTTTTTCTCTTCTTACTTTCCCCCCCCCCTTTAGAAAAAAAGAAAAGCTTTTACCGACAATTTTGGAATCCAAGATTCACATGCAAAAGCTACGCAACTACGTAAATTTTTTTCACCGCGCGCGATTAATTATTTTACTTTCCCTCAACGTTCCCGCACGACAGTTAATCGCGATGACATCACTCGTGATCTTGGTTATTTCTGGCCGTTGACCGTGATTTTTGACCTCACGGCCACGAAAATTGACCGCGGATGCACTGATGGGATCACGCGAGACTAAATGATTGAGGATCGACAGAGCACGAAAGATCACGCGATCGAAATCGGTGAGTGAGACGTGGTGGATCACGTTCGATTACGTGGTCGAGAAAGATATGTGGGGGCAGGAGGGACCACGTAATCGAGACACTCGACACATGTCCCGGTCTTCGATTGATGGTGCCGATCACGTGCTATCGTGTGATATTGAGATCGACATATTATATACGAGATTCAATTTTAGATCGTTCAAGTTATCCAAATGACGAGTAACTTGGAACGCGCGCCTCGAAACGTCAAAGAGTTCGAAGCAGACTCAAAATATTTCTATTCTAAGAAATTCTCAAATATATGAGTAACTTTTATTAACTCATTCCATCGAGAATGCAAGTTAAATACAAAGCAATTAAAATTTTCTTCTCTCATTACAATTTAAGATGCCTCTAAATATCATGCGTTTAAATATAATTTAAAAATGACTGTAAAAAAAATGAAAATATAAATTTAATTCCTATTAAAGATATATTATTTTATTTTTTCGATCGTATCACAAGTAAAAGGGAATGCAGTATAATTTGCAATCTCTATAAAATTTTGTCAAAAAGTCGAAAGTGGAGTATTCGCTTTGAGCTCTTCGACTATCGATTTGTCTGAACAACGGTCTCGTGATACCAGCTGCACTTCCGTTGTCGCTTTTCTTCCGGATGAAGTAACTAAGTTCGCGAACCGATCGCGAAAACCGTCGGCGCGACGGTGTGTCCGCAATAGAAAAAACGCTAACAATCGGCCTAATATTTATTTAGCATCATCGTTCGTAGTAATATAATTAATAATAATAATTCTCTCGTATTTCTCTCCCGTCTTGCGTCATCATTTTTTTTTTCGTTTAAATATAAAAATGAAAACTAACATATCTTTGGCTTGTTCCCTTTACCAATCGGCAACAGCTCGCGGCTGCGGCGTGCATCATTATTTTTTGTTCTTTTGTTTAAATAACTTTTTGTACAGTTTTGTACACTCAAGTGTGTCTGTGTACGCGCGTGCGTATCTTCATCATTTTTCCATGTACGTTTAACTCTCGCTTCATTGTGTCACGTGTATGTGTATGTATATTATATATATACATATATATATATATATGTGTGTATATATATGTGTACGCGTTTTTTTTTTACGTATATCTGTAGTATTAGAATATGTTCGATTTTAACGTACACGGTTATTTAAAGCGCGCACAAGTAGACTCCTTTCTGAATACGTGCGAGTGTCCTACGTGAGTACGTATTATGTGTGTCTCTTTTTCTCTCACTCTCTTTCTCTCTTTCTCTCCCTCCCTCTCTCACTCTCTCTCTCTCTCGCTCTCTTTCTCTCTGTCTCTTTCTCACTGTCGTGTGTCTTGTTTCTTTTTGCAAGTGTATCGATTTGCAAGCTGAACACAGTGTGTGGCCCAGCCCCATATGCCACTGACAGCTTCGCGCGCTTCCGCGATGCTTCCGCGTCCTTTCGACGACGACAACGACCACGACGGCTCTCCACATTTAGTGGATGGGCGATTTCACAATGTGGTCCGGTGGGATGAAGTGATACGCGGGCATAGGCACCCCCGACGTCTCCATCGATATCCTGAAACACAATCGGTCGCGTCGTGAGAAGCAGTAACATTCATTTCTACCGGTTGTGTTCACTCCAACAAGTATGAGATGAGAGTTCTCTACAAGGGCAGAAGTACAGATTCTTGTAAAACGACATGGAACGTAAGAAAATCAATTAATGGCTGCGTTCATCAGAAAAAGCAGCTTTGCAACTGTCGTAAGATTCTTTAATATGATTGATTTGTACGTTCAAAGAAGTGAGACAAGATCCAATCATATTAAAGAATTTTACAACAGTTCCAAAGTTGGTTTTTTTCTACTGAACAGAGCTAATGTCTTTTATTTTATGCAAGGAAGAAAATGAAGGACTTTAATTGGTTCATTTTCTCATGCGTTATGTAAAACTTGGTACTCTCTTCTAACAGCTACAAAAGATTGGTCCACTTAGTGGATTATATGTTCCTGAGAATTTTCAATCATCTTCCAGGACTCTCTTCTCATACTCGTACGAGAGAACCGAGATAAAATCCCGACACATTTTCAACATCGGAGGAAAAGACTAACGAGGCTGACCGGCCGAATCTTTTCGTCCGAATAAAGATGCTGCAGCATGCGACGCGGAAGTAGAACACAACACGAATCTAGTGACTCTCCGTGAGCCGTATTCCGACGTAGTATATGTGCAAAGCCCGGCGTAATGTATAAAATCTCTTAATTTGCATGCCCGGTCTATAAATTTTGTACGAACCATCATCGGCAGAGTGATATCGCAGGCGTTCAACATTTTGTGTCGAACCTGCAAAACAAAGCTTACTACGTCTGCTAAGAATGCAGAGCAACAACGTTACCGCGCGACTCCGGAGGTCTACAAAAATTTTTATCACGTGATATATATACGTACTTTTCTCGAGGATTTCTCGCGAACCCGGAAGGATTCGGACTGGTTGGTCGTACATATTTGGTATTAAAAAAAAAAAAGATTGCGCAACGATTGAATTGGAAAAAAAAATGAGAACTGAGAACGCAGTAAATGAGAACTTCGCAGCCAACAGGATAAATCGATTAACAGGACTACGAAGGAATGGATGGTGCTTACCAAAAACGGGCAGGAGCCTGGGTCAAGTTGGTTGGATGGATACATCTTCTCTTTCTCTCTCTCTCTCTTTCTCTCCCTTTATCTATATCTCTCTCTCTTTCTCTCTCTCTCTCTCTCTGTACGAGTTTCTCTCCGATCTTGGTTACGCTTAACACTTACATGTACGTGGTGAGACATAGTATATATATATATATATACATATATATATATGTATTTCAATGGACCGTATTCTTAGCGCACATTGAGCGTCAAAAAGTAGCCAGTTCTGATCCAAATCCTACGTTTGCCATGATTAACATAACTATTGCACGAAAGACGAATATATCGGGCGCTGAATGTACCAGAATACGGTCAAATTATGTACAATCTGTTCGACAGTAAAAAGTGCAAAAAATGCTCGCGTTAATCAAAATCGTGAAAAATTTATTTTAAAAAATGTTAAATTTTATTTGAAATGTAACTATTATTAAGGCTGAAGAAACGATAGAAGAGGCCATGTCGCATTCTTATAACAAATCGAGATATCTTCATATGCAAAATCGTCCCTATTTAAAGGTATAATAAACCGAGCATGTGTGTATATTTCTATCATTCACTTTTTCTTTCAATTAAAAAAAATCGCTGAAAGATTAACGCAAAAACATTATGCTTAAAAAAGAAGGTGGTAATAAAACGTTCAAGTGCCATAAAGGTGGTCGCGCAATATATTGGAGGTATTTCATTTCCGATCCAAAAGGGATATGTTGTTTTTCGAATAAAAGATCGTCGAGAAATAAATTTTTCGCTATCGTTTATATCCGTCATACATTTTTCCTGCGAACCAATACATTGCGGGACCTCACTCGCAGGACCGCCAGAGCTGTTTTTATTTGGTATTGTATTTCTCTTACTGTATTAAACACGCCTAGCTTTATTTAACAAGATGATACAGGGTAACTAAAGTCTGTTAAGCATGTAAGCTCTGCGATATCATTATAGACTAATGTACATCTCAAGATTATCTGTCTACAGGATTCTATGCACGATGTAGGAATACCAGGCACAGTAATGGCTTTCCTTAATAAATCATCTGTCTCAAGCAATGAAATTTTGTTTTCGTTTAAATACAAGTATTCTTTTAATTTTATCCGAAATAGTTCTTTGATTTATTATATCATCGTTATACGCATCGCTTCACTTGATATACCTACATGCATGATGGGACTGTGAGCATTTTCTAACGCATTTCCTCACGATTCTCTCACTTATGCTTTTTTCATTGATAAACAGTCACTTAGAGTCCTGGGCATGGAGTTGACGTTTATTGTCTCGAGAAAGAAATGGAACGAGACCGTACAATCTAAAATGAAGAAAACGCAATGAAGATATCTCGCGATCATGGCGACGGTTGATCCGATCGGAATAATTTTTCTGCAAACGGAACTGATTCTTCATGCGATTACCGCGCGTTCCGATAAACCATGGCCACGCTCGCGATAGGTCAGTACTTGTTGTGATAATCCGACTATTATGTCCTACACCCGATCGGTCGCTACTTGCAAGTACTCACTATAAACTAGAAAATTGAGCACACAAACACTTATCTGGAGATTCCATTATCGATCGTCTTTATCCAAGTGATGAAACATCTTGAACATCCGTCCAAACTGTTTTCCTTTTTCTTCCGCGATTGTGTTAGACTTGGATCTAACCGCGATTGTTCTTTCGCGGCTAGACGATATTTCGACTTCACGTTTTCCGATAACTTACAGAACAATAAATCAAAAAAACGCTCGAATTACCGTGGAATTAGAAATCTGACTGTGTTTTTTATGTGTATATACGTGTTTTATTAGTTTAATTTCACAAAAACATAATTTACACGCGATTTCATGCAGACCTTGGTCGTCTCGCGTGCATATAAGGATTAAGTTTATTACCGTTACAACACTATGTATTAGCTTCATTGATTATTTCATATTGCGATGGTCGATTATAATGCTTTAAAATTCACCGTATTCGCATTTCTAGCGAACTCCTAGATCGCTCGATTGCAGATCGTTTTTTCGTCAAAAAAAAGACCGCAAAAGTCATCTAAATCATTACGTTACATGATTATGACATAGTGCATTCTCAACACGATTTATTACAAAGACTGATAAACACATGATTCAAAGACGATTTCTTTCACGCACTTTCCTTCCCTTTCTCTTCATCACACATATTCATTCACGCGCGCGCGAAAAATTTCTTTCTATCAATAGAATTTCTATCTACTACGAAAAAAAAAAAATCACATTGGTATATCTATATATACTAATAAGTTTTTTTTTTCAAACAATTAATTAATTATAATCCATAATATATTGTAATAATAATTGTAATGTAATTATGTATTTATATTTTATATAAAAAAAAGGCTGTCTTGCGACGGTGCATGAGCGATCGCGTCCTCCGAGCCTATCAGAAATCGCTCGTAGAAAATGAAACGTTACAAGAAAAGCTACATGTTCGTCATTGTAAAGGACCTCAAAAGAATTTATCATTAATGAATTCCGCCGCTTCATTACATTACACAATCAGTCTTCACACGATAGCGTCGAACATCCCGATCTCGGAGGGCGTGTCACGATAGTATATGGTGTGTTTCTAAGACTTAGCATCGGATCATAATCGGGTTTAATAACACAAAATATTCCAAACGCTCCAATCTGCCTGTTCTTTTTCCTCAGCTAAAAATAATACATCAAAAACAAATAAAAATCCTACAAAATGTTTCCGTACAGTGATTCTTAGGAGGAAGTGAGCTAATATGGGCAAGCGGAGCATTGTTATCTCCAGAAAAATGATTAAAAAGTATTTCATTTTTCTGGAGAAAGATTCCTTCTTTCCAAAATCGTCGATCGATGGTAATCTTTCTCGTGATCGAGAGGTGATTGAGAATCATCTTCTTCCTCGGCTTCGTGCAATTCCTCAATCCTCTCTACCCATTTAGACAATGGTACTCACGCTCCCATCTGAACAATCATTTAATAACACAAAACGACGAATCAATCCTTCGCCAAGTCTTCGTACTCGCTACCCTGGCGTCCGTACGCACTTTTTTTTTTTTTTCGGTGTATTACACAAGTGTACGCTAAAAGTATGTAGTAATAGATTTGTATTTATATTAGTGTTCCCCCTGTAACATCATTATCATCCTGCTGCTTGTCCGTTCATTCAGTACGGATTATACTTGGTACGCTCGGACTTGAACTTGCCGCTGTCGGTCGGGCCTGGTGCGCCAGGGCTACGGAGCCTCGGCGTAAAGGTCTTGTGCGATCGGTGCACGCCGGTAGTCTGGACCGGTAGCGCGGATGCAGCTGCGCCAGCAGCACCACCTAGCAATTCCGTGAGTCCGCCGAGGGCGGTGAGGCTAGATAGGGCGTTGAGGGCGCCTGGCTTGCTTAGCAGCTGAGCCAAGGGGATGGCGCTGGCCAAGGGAGAGGCAGTGGTAGTGGTGGTAGAGGGGGAAGCACTGGCCCCGGATGCTCCGGGAGTGGTACCGCTGCCAGGGGTTTGGGTATTATGGGCCTCTAGGTTAGCTTTCTGCAGTTCGACACTGGGAAAAGACACAAAATGTAAAAAGGTGAGGGCGGGAACGTTCCTCGTAAAACTGTGTGTCAAAGAGATTAAAAAAAAAAAAAATTCAACATAAGAGATGATAAAAAGTAAAAAAAAAAAAAAAAAGAAGACAACAGTAAAGTAGTAGCAATAGAGTTATAATAGTAATAGTAGCAGTAGGAAATAGAGTAAAAGTAGTAGAAGAGCAGTAGTAATAATAATAATAATAGTGGTAGCTGCCGCGGAGAACATAAAATAATATGAAAAAAAATATGACAGAAAAAAAGGAACCATCAGAAAACAAGATAAACTAAATCACAAGTTGTAGGCTTAGAGAGTTACGTCAGAGGTGCTCTGTGGAGCATGATTATCACGTACACCGGCTACGTGGTTCGTGGGGGGGAGGGAGGGGAGGAAGGTCTCGATCGCGCCAGGTTGCATTTAGACTCTATCACGAATGTTCACGGACATTCACACTGGACATAGACTGACTTGCTAATGAGCGCCAATCAGCCGTATCCATGGAATGAGATCGCCGAACACGGAATCGGTCGAAATGCATCCTGATCGCAAGGAGCGCGGAGGATGTACACGAAGAAGAGAAGAAGATAAACACGCGTTCGCTAGTCTACTCTTTCAGAATACAAATTCCTACAAAAACAAATGTCACATCCACCGCTAATAAGTAGATTTGCGAACGATGCGATTGTTTCTAGGTGTAACGGGCTTATGGTTCGTTATACAGACGAGAGAGACACCATTGAGGGATATTTCCGTTTCATTGCGTTTTGATTGCGCCATTCGTAATTCGTGTCAATAACTAAAAGTCGATGATCTCCACGTCGATAGAACGAGCCATTTGCCTCGTGGCTTATAGAAAAGGCAGAAATCAAAGTAAATCAGGCACAAATATGCACTCTGCCACAAGTCGCGTTAATTGCGTCATACAGTTGATATGTTTAAGATCACGAGATATGCGTATAATCGCGACGCTTAAATAGTCAATGATCGACTCTCAGATATACGTCATCTGAATGAGAAATTAGAACTAGATAAATGGCAGAGCGCAGACCTGTGGCCGACAGGAGGTGCCGGGATACACGATACGTAATAAATATGATGACAAAGTTAACGGGTAAAATACAGAAGTATCGAGATGATAAATATATATAACGACATTGCGCTATTTATATGCAGTAGTAAAATGTGAGTGGCAATCTGGAATAAAATATAATGGATTATAATTATAACGTGAGGGTGTACGTGTATAAAAGTGTAATTGATCCGCGTGTTTAAATCGTACTTGGCTTGATGCTGGTGGGATCTTACGTATTGTGGCGCGAACTTGTGCCGACTTTTTGTCTGTCGTCCTCGAATCTCATCGACGACTACGTTAGTACCGTTCACCATTTCTAATGTCGCTATGATGGAAGTAGATTAGTTCCACAGCATAATTCAATAAAAAAAAAAAAGAAAAAATAATTAACAGATCTTCAACACACCGCGACCAATGAACATTAAGCGATGGCAACAACAGTGATGAAAGCATATAACTGAAATGTAAAGATGCTACGGCGAAGGTTCCTGGCAAGGACGAGGAAAACCCTTCACATTTTATCGCGTAAATAAAGACATGACGTTTACGTAATGCATATATTTTTCTAAACAACATAATGTCAGAAACATACTCGCGGCTTCAAAGATAAATGTACCAGTATCTTGTTTTCTTTTTCGCGAACTGAGTTATAAATATACAAAATGGAAATGTAAGCGTAAATGTTATAAGCTGATCGTCCATTACCGGGAGCCTGTCAAACTAGAAAGAAATTTGTGTCATTAAAAAACGAATCGAAAGGAGGAACTGTGATACGATTGTTTGGGACTGTTCGGGATTGATTGTCACTAACAGAGCGACAGTCCTCGTACATCTTTTCATTATGTCTTTCAGTCGGTAGTTTATTTGCTTGAAAGGACAGCCAGCGACAATGGGAACAGATGTTGAACGGAGTTGTGTCTGCAGGATACTCGGGGTACTGGACCTGGAAGACAGGACCTGGAAATAAAGGATTAAGATCCTCTTCCGTCTTACGGCCGACGTAAGATGTCTTCCAGTATCTGCATACATGAACGCTGGTACCTCGATCATGGCCGTCGAGATGCGACGTCTTCTCCTCGCATCGTTACTTTACGATTACGTACGACCTGTTTCGCTGTAAACTGAGGTGGCGTTACGCGACGCGATTTCTTTTCTATTATTTCACCCAGAGGAATTTTCCCCGAAGATTATTATTATTATTATTATTGTTGGTTAAAAAACTACACGCGTATTTTGCAGCAGTATCATCCTCAGCGTAACACCACCTCTTTTATAACATCTCTCGCGGCGACACGCAGTAAAGACGACTTTTCTCCTAATGCCAATTATAATCTTCTCAGAAATAGAGTAAAACTTCTCTAATGTCCGTTTTAACTGCAAATTTCTTGGGAAGAAAATAAAATATATATCGTCTTATAAACTATCCCTCTTACGGGAACAACGTATTGTTAAGCATATTGTGTAAAAATTTTATCTTTAATTTTAATTCATTGTATATTTTGTGCAGTAGCTTAATGGACAGAGGAAAATGGACGAAAGTCATCTGTACGCGGGTTGTCGTGAGCAAGGGTGATAACAGTAATGATGGGAGATATCGCGAGGAGTGCCGATTCGACTATCCCTTATACATAATCTCATCATTAAGAAGAACATCAAAATTAAGTGAGGCAACAGGTTGTGTGAGGAACGAGTAGTACAAACAGGCGAATCGGCGGATCTCGATCATGGGTAAGGTCAACAAGAAATCACTCTACGCCAGCGACACGCGTCACCACCAATTTGGCGAGCAGTGTCGGCAAAAATGCGGGAAAAATAAATAAAAATAAATAAATAAATAAAAAGAGATGAAGGGGGAAAATACATCGCGATCCACTGTAAAACGTAGCCGGGACGAGTTCGACTGCTTTCTATTGAAAATGGATTTCGGTGACACAACCGAAAGCCGAACCTTGGACGAACCTCTTGGAATGGCTTCCTGTCGGTCCGAAGGTTGACCTTCGGTTTGATAGGCTTAAGGAATATAGGAATACAGACCACGTAGTACTCACCTCATGTTGATGAGATATTGTGCCAACGCTACGGCGTCCGGATTCCCGGTTATGGTGATCGTGCGGTCCGTTGCTCCGCCCTCCCTCTCCTCACAGTTGCTGATTCGGATCATGGCGCCGGAGATCTGACGGATCTCGGCGATCTTGGTACCGCCCTTTCCAATGATGCAACCGATCAGCTCATTTGGCACGGTCATCTCATGTGTCTGATTGTTCGCCGCCGGTTGCTGCCTGTTCGTGTTGTTCGTACGCAGCTGGCTTCCAGCCAATGCAGCTAACGCTATGCCATCAATTGCGCAAATATTAGAAAAGTTTCTTCCTGAATTTTGGTCGTAATGAAAAGTTCACGAAAGAGTTTTCCTTTATAAAACTAGAAACCAATGAGGCAACTGGAAGAAATACGTTTGTATAAGGCTGCTTCTATAAATTAGTTACATCAAAGTTCAATTGTGGCTTACTGATGCTATCTACTCTTCTTTCCGTTCTACTCTAGAGCTCCAATAAACTTTAACTAATGTTTGTGAGAACAGTTCATAGATAAATTTAACTTCTCATTGCGGTATACGAACCTGTATTAACATAACTCTTAGTCGATAAAGTTCGTTCACGCAGGAAAAATTTATTGCGATACCATATTATCAAAATAGTTTTGAAAAAATTGATTTCCAAATTTGAACAGACAGTCTACTGTCAATTGCCTCGTAAATTGTGTTAACAATCGTAAAAAATGTACAAAATTATAAATAATTTTTAAAAATATATTAAAATAGTTGAGAAAATCATCAGTTCGAACATGTAAATTTGTTTCTTGCGAAATGTAACAGTCGCGAGACTGATACCATTCAACATCATACAATTCAATACATACCACAATGGAAATAAAGAAATACGATAAACGAGTGTATTAATCTCTTCTACATAATTTTTTGCGAGACAGAGAACAACATCAACAGGGTACGATTGCCGACCTACAATTTCTTTAAAGACATGTATTGACTTACCTGCTGGATTAAGACCACCCGTGTTTGCCGGTGTGGCAAGACCTCCAAGGCCTAAGGCTGCTAGTCCAGCCAAAGGATTGCTGCCCAGTTTGCCCATCTGTAACAACGACGAAGAGATCCATCGTTCAAAAATGGGGGAGGGAGGGGCGGGGAGTCCGCGTCGAACAATCACTCGGGGTGTGCTTAAGAGGAGGGGTTTACGACGACACCGAGAAGTATATCTATATATGCTTGAACATGTTCGCCACCTCGCGCATCACGCTCGAGAATTTCCAATTGCGAGCAAGAATTCTTAGCTCAGGGGCAGCCTCGCTGAGAGAGAACGTTCGGTTCTACGTAATAAGGGGGACAGGTGATATCCTTCACAATCGACAATTTAATTAGATCATCCCGGATTCATTACGTCGTGACATAATCAACGCCTCGTCCCGACTTCCTGGGACCGGTCCGACGGCTTCCTCATAACGGGTTCTACGATAGCCATTCGAGCGTACCGTTTTTAATTACATATATCGACCTTAGAGCAAAGACTTCAATGTCGTAAATAGATAAAGTTTGAACGATGTTTGTTCTTACTTTCTCTTATGTGAAAAGTTTACTAGAATGTTAAATTTATCTTCGCGTATCAGTGTATATTATCTTTCCGTGTCAATAAATTATTATTAATTCGATATAGGAACTATTGTAAAATAGATCAAGATTCGAAAAGACATTCTAGTAACAACTAATATCTAAGAGAAGATAAGATTAAATTCCAATACTTGTACAAATTCCATTGTTCAATTTTTAAGCGTTTTGAAGCCTTGGCCGTATCGCTGTACTCGATCTATTTTTGAAAATACTCTAAATTTCGTTTTTTTAACAACAAATAATCCATCGAAAAGATTCCTTTGCTTCTGACGTCATAATGTATGCAGAAATTCAAGTAGAACCGTGTCTACCAGTCGCCTTAAGCAGTCTACAACATTCCACGCGTTTATCGCAAAAATATAAAATCTCGCGTACCTCTGAAATGCATTAAATTTATAAACGGCAATATATCCCGGAAAATTGCTCTGGCAGGATAAACGGTACACAGAATGGCTGTCGATAAGCTAAACTATTTCGAATTGCGTTTCGAATTGCATTACTTCGAAAATCGTGGCAGAAATTACTTAGGGACAGCTTGATGAGGAAGGGGCGCTCAGAAATTACAGAAAGAGAGAGCGAACGAGCGCGGAGAGAAGAAGGATGTCTATATCCTTGTATTTTCGCGATACCATTAAATCGCGCGAAATGTAACGCTGCAATTCTCTTTGCACCTACCGTTTCCACGTTATATAAATACTTACATGAAGTTTAGCGTCAGTTTATTTGCACCGACAAAGATTTTATCGCATTTCATCAAGTATAATCCACTACGATCCTATTAACGGCATGTTGCAGTTACTATTGTAATCAGAAGATGACTAAGTATTCTAATAGTTAGTCATAAATTATTTTGATTGGCTGTAATAATTATTTAGTAAACATTAAAATAAGCTAATCGTTTGAAGCAAATACAAAACGTTTGAAATTGTATCTAATTACTAGTAATGATATATTCTATTTTTATTTTCAAAAAGGATGAAATGAAAGGTAGATAGGAAGGATGGGATGTATGTATGTATCTTAAACGAGTGATAATACTTCATTCTCTATATCACTGTTGTCAACTAAACTAACTTATGTGCCAAATTTCTAAGCGCTGTATGAAACATGTCTGAAATTAATATATATTAAGGTAATATCTACATATACATATATAGATATGCATTATTAATATACATTATCTTAATATATAAGTTTATATTGTATAATATTTCTAAAATTATTCATATTTCCCATGGCAGTACATAAATCTATAACTGTTTACAGCTATAATCGTAAAATATATCTTTTGAAGTATTGATTTTAAATTAGTATTAATATATATATATATATATATATATATATAAAATTTCTAACGTCAATAGTTAATGACAACCGACAAATACTCTAAATTTGCTGAGTTTTTCAATCGTTCGTTTATCGGATATATTTTCAGTAATTGGAAATTCAAGAAAAGGAGTTTGGAATGTTTACAATCAATAAATTATCTGAAAAATATTAAGGGTCTATTCACGAATATGTAAACGCCTCGTCTCGTAGACAAACCGTTCCGACGTGATCTCTCAAATGTGCTTAACTGGTGGAAACGTAACAGGGCAGCCCACCCTTACACGAACTCGTCGCTGACTCTTAGCTTAAAGAGTGCCGGAAGCCATGCTATTCTAAACAGGACGCCAAGAGGACAATGAGCAACTCAGGATGGAAGTGGAAAAATGAACAAAACATAGCGCGACAAGAGCGATATTAAATGCGTGTACACGTATTTATGCTCGCGTAACTTATCTTTCATTTCTCACAAAATTGAAGTTAAACAAAGGTTTACGTACATATAAATAAATGTAATTGGTATACTAAACAGATCAGCGTATCGAAAATAATTTATTTAAAAAACACCCAATAGTTTGAAAGAAATTAATATTTTTCAAATATTTTTTTATTTCAATTAAAATATTCGAATTCATCTGGAAAATATACTATGTAAAATTTGATTTAAATTTCATATTGTTATTATTTTTATTATTTCTCTTAATTTGAATCAAAACTTGAACTTCCTAAAATCATAATAAAAAAAGTATATTTAACCATTTCCACAGTTTTATTAGCAATTTAAATAAGCCTCGTAAATAATTTTAGATCTATTAAAAAAATATTTTTTAAATATAAATTTAATAATATGATATATATAATTAAAATAAAATTCCACAAAACTGAAATTGGACAATTGTATTTCATATAAAAAGCGAGAAATAAAAGAAACAATCACGCGAAAATTAAATTGGAATTTTAAATACGTTTTTTTTTTCCTACATTCTCAATTGAATCTTAAAGGAAGTCAATTTTAAAAAGGTTGTGACCGGATAAGGGAAGTCAATTTTAAAAAGGAGAGCAGGAAACGATTTCTTATGTGAGACCGTGTAGAGATAAACAGAAATAAAAACACAAAATCAGAGACAGTGTATCAGGAGAAGAAGCGAAGTAGTAACCGTGTACTGTAAGCCGTAAGAGTTCATCAAGCAGACTGAGAAACTGAGAAAGTATTAAAGATGGGATCGTGAAAGTAGATATAAAGCGCAATAGTAATAATATATCTAGGTAATCTACCTCTTTTCGTGCCACGCATGCATGTCCTTGTTCGTTTGTGATTTTGTCATAATTTATTATTTATTTATCGCTTCTACAAATTAACCCCACCCTTTCAGCCACGTCTCTCGAAGTTAACGGACAATAATCGAATTGGAAGAAAGGAAAATAAAAAACATAAAACAAAACAAAATAAAAAAATTGGTCAAACCGTAATATATCTATGGATAATGGGATGTATTATGGTATAGACACGTTTCTTTTTTATTGCGCATTTTGTGTTCGTTTGTTTCGTTTCCGGGTAGCAAATCGGACTCGAGGAAGTCGGGCTCCGTGTCGGACGTCGGTCGTTGAAGAGCGCACAGAAAGAGAAGATAGGACAGAAGGTGAGACACGATGACACGTCATCCTGATAATGCTTTATGAAAATATTTACATGATTGACCTCAAAAGTTTCGCCATAGAAGGTAAAAAAGATTCGACAAAAAAGATAACAATTTTCTATTTATAAAAATACTTTAAGAAAAATAAACGTGTTTTAATACAAATCGACAAACTGGAAGAAATAGGCCATTAATTTTTATCTATTTTAGTGTAACATAAAATTTAATTTATATTTACGTTTTCAAAGCGAATGATAAAATTTACCAGAATTATATAATTATTATTAAAAGGCAAAAGATTGAAACATTTGATCTGGTACTCTGTACTCTCATATTCTGATATTGATATCCGAATATGAAAACACAAAAAGCAACCTTTTTACTAAATTAAAATATCAACCAAGTTTATACAAATATATCAAAAAACATAACAAACTGTCATAATTAAAATATTGAAACAGCATATTCGACTGATAAAACTTCCTATCGTGTCTCGAGAACAATTCAATTGATCATACAGACATTTATCAGAGTGACGTTTCATGGCATCTGCCGATCGATCGGCCGGATGAGTGGATTTTTAAAGCACTACCATAGTAGCCTGGAATTAGAGCGTCGGCTATTTGGTGATTTGGCCTCCTCATTGATCGCAAGCCGTTCGTTGAGACTTGTAGCAGTAACATCTGGGACCTTCTATACGTCTCTCTCTCACTCTCTCTCTGACCGAATCCAACGACAAGCCATGACAAATCCATTGTGCGACCCGTGAGCAAGCATTCATGCTAAGCAGGCCCGATCGTTTGGCGCGAGGCTCGGAACAAATCCCCATTTTGCCTCCAAGTTCCTTCCGAGAGAGCGCACAAATTGCTGCTCTCGGACGATGATCGTATCGAGAAAACTGGGCATTTATCTGCTTGATGCAGTACGTCTGCCGAATACATATTACAGAGACCGATCAATTCTAATGTGCATATCCTGTATTTTTCTCATCTAAAAATAGATGTGAACGATAGGAGATAAAGATAGATTATACATAAAAGAATAGAACAATTAATTGGTAGTTCAATACGATCATCAACGGAACGATATAAATGCAGTGCACGATTAAAATTTTCAGATACCAAGTTTTAGATAATTTCAAATTTCACTTGAATTTACAATATTTGTATTGTCATTAAAAAAGACAATACAACGCAAATCGATTAATATAAAATAAGATCGATTAATAATATTGAATAAGAATAATCAGTTCCATTTTATTAAATTTTGTCAATCCAGTTCTCTTAGAATTGAATTGATAAGAATCGAATTCAATTGCGTAAATATAATTATTCATTAAAATCAAACATACTAACGCGAACTTCATTACTTCAACCTGATATCGGAGCTCATGTTACGTCGTACAATTGTACTCTTTGTACATAGCATGCATCTTAAAATTTCTCTATGCACTGTGAAGGACGGTAAGCAATATTTAAGGTGATCAACCCACTACCAAATGCAAGCATACACAAAGGAGACACGAGTACATACAGATTCAGGTTGAGCTTGTTAGAAGCGTCGGTGAACATCTATAGAATTTAGAAAAAAAAAATAATCCAAAGAGGAAAGCATGCACGTAACAGCTCATACGGATATAAAGCAAAGCTGGAAAATCTCGCGTGACTTCGCTATCATAAAATTATGAAAAGATATTTGTTTATTCTAAAAATATGAAAAAACAAGCTTTCTCATCACTATTATTAAAATATAATTTATAAAAAATTCAACTAACGAAATACATCGTGAACATTTCGTATTTCTGATGTGAGAAACCTTCCAACACTGAATGGCAAAGTAATTCTGATGTAATCATGTTGAAAGTTGTTATTAAATATAATTACACGTGCTTTATTTCGTTCCATGTTATGTTTAATTAGATGTTTCTGCAGTCGAAGTCACGCGACTAGAAAATGTTTGAAGGTATGTACGGTCAGAGCCTAATCGTGCGACAGGATCCTTTCGATCGCATCTTCAAGCAATCGAAGATAAGAATATTGTGACATGAATATTCCTGAATAGAAAGCTCAAAACCGTACAGGGATATCGAGCAGAAAAGCTATGATGCATATATGCGGAGGGAGACAGAGGACAGCAAAGAGTTTCAAGAGGGAAAGGATCAAGTGACCTAGATAATAATGAAATATATTGATAAATTGTGAGCTGCCACGACATTTGGTGAAAATTGGAATAATCTCGAATCCAGAATTACATTAAAGTCAGTGCAAATTCTCACTAATACATTGTTTACAAAATAATTATAATGATATACGCAAACATTTCAATATGTCTAAACATTATTTTTTTATTAATAAAATAAAAAAAAATGATTTTTAAAACATGATATAAGATATATATAAGCATTATATAAACTGTTATTTCAGCTTCGAACGTAATATAAATATTTAATATATTTCGAAACAATTTCTAAAATGTTTCATTTGTAATTTAAATATAAAATTTATCATAATAACCACTTTTCACTACAGCCAAGATTCAATATAGCAAAAAAAATTTAATAAAACTAAATTACAAAAAAGATCAAGGATCGCGATTAAATAAAAGCATCACATTAATCCATTTCTCACAATCACGCTCTTTTATCTTTAACGAAAACTACTGTTCAGTCACTGTTGCAACAAACAAGTAACTACACGCTTGACCATTCATTTATCTATAAAACTTTCTACCCTCCGATTGCGCATTAACTTAACCGCAAATTAATCCCACTAACACCATGAACAAGTGTAGATTCATTACGCAAGTGATTTCTCTTTCTTAACTATTATACAAAAAAACATAATAATATATAGATATGAAAACTACAAATAAGAAATTTTTAGCTGCGTTAATATTAGCCTTTCAACATATATTCAGACGTTTCTATTTAGATTTTTAGTTAGATTTATCTAGTTTTTTAAAGAAACAACTTCGAACGTACTATTTTCCCCATCCGACTCTCTTTCTTCGTAATCATTCCAACGTAAAACCATCTGCCGAGGTTGCCAATTTGAAATTTTGCCGGATATATTAAGGATCGCGTACAATAAGGAGACACTGAATCGGGAGGGTGTATTGATTTTTCGGACAAGTAGAACGGAAATCCATCGTATGTATATTGTTACCCGGGAGATATGTGGTAGCCAGGTTGGTGATCAAGAAGGGGTACGGGAGAGGGTGGAGCACGAAAAACAAAAGACTTACGGCGTCTGCCACGAGGTGTGCGGGCGGGAGGGCTGCCTGCAAGTGTCCACTCTTCAGCAGGGGGTCGGCGAGGCCTGCCACGCTGGCGTGTAAGGGGCTTGGGTGGAGAGGATGATGTGGGGTTGTAAGATGGGCCGTGGATAGGAGCGGGTGCCCGTGAGAAGCGGCGAAGGCCGAGGATGAGGGGTGGGCCGCGAAGGGCGAGGTCGTCAAAGTTTGGGTATTCAGCGAGGGCGGGGTGGGCCCGGCAGCGGGCGCGGGCAATGGTAATACTGTACTTACGTCCGAGTGGGCGGGCACCGCGTAATTACCCTGGATGGTGTAGGCTTGCCCACCAGCCAGGATCACTGGCCCACCGACTTGGGGTTTGGGGCGATAAGGGATCGTGGCACCTTTGGGAGGGGACTGAAACAGAAAGAAACATACGCACGAGTGTGAATACGCCGATCGAGTTATTACATTTGGTACAGCATTCGCGTTATCGCATCAAAAGATGGCTCTTTTATCCTATTAAAGTCCAAAAATGACACGATGTGAATAAAAAAAAGAATTACTTTAGCGTCGAAAACTTCGTTTACAGCTGCAGCTACATATACTGCATTTCTCTGAAGAAACTTATAAATAATGAAAAAAATTCAAATTATTGTTATGAATACTAATTTAGTCTGAACTTTAGTAGGTTAATCCAACTCGTCATAATTCAATGAAATTATTTAAATACGTGCAATCTTTTCTTTTCAAGATCGATATGATAAGTATTGCTTTTAAGTCTCGATCGTTAATGCTTACTATTTATTAACAGATTAATAACTATAAACTGTATTTCTATACCTATATGTTCAACAAAATTAATAGCACGCTTATGAACGATTATGTAGGTTGTTTCCGGTTATAATTATTACAAACAGTTTATACAGAGTCAAGTACTAAAGTGAGAACTATAACACTTAGAATGATCGATCGTTATGACGTCGCAAAACGATGGTACGTACCTCTAGCATAACGCAGCAAATATGATATATGCATTGCGTGATTGCCTCGCTGGTACCGGATATGGTCACTGCACGTTCCGTCGAATTAGGCAGCATCTCGGAAGCGACTTGAATGGAGGCGCCAGTAACCTCCCGAATTTCTTTAATCTTGGAACCACCCTTGCCGATCAGGGAGCCGCATTGCGAAGCAGGGACAATCAGTCTGAGTGTGATGGGCGGCCTCGATACACCACCGCCACCTCCGGCACCGCTACCCGGAACGTCGTGGAACTGAGAGCACCACTCCTCGAATTTCTTGCATATCAGCGTGAACGCCTTGAAGATCGAGTTCGTCGGCCCGGTGACAGTCACTATTCGTTCCGGACAGGAACCGTCGGAGATATTGATTTTCGCGCCGGACTGCGTTGGACGAACGGAAAAAAAGTATTACCGATCATGGGTCTTCATATGCATGTATATAAAGCTATTTTCAGCTTCCAATATTCGATAATCAATGCCTGCTATCCTGAGAGGTCAAGTTAGTGTGTATTAGTGAGAAAATGATTAAAGTAGAAAACAAATTTAAAAGACTTGTAAATGTAATTTGTCCTTGATAGCTGAAATCGATCGTAGACAGTAATAATTTACATGCTTTCACGTAGAATATCATCTTACGATACGTGATGCGGTTACACAACAACTCTTTTTTTTCATTATCGGATGACGTATTTCGTCTTCAAGAATTAATACTTACTTCTTCCCGGAACCTCTTGACAATCTCTCCTTTTTTCCCAATAATGCTACCAACTTCCTGCAATAAAATAAAAATATTACGTTAATTTAAATATTACTTTTCGTATTGATAAGATTGTATTGTATATTAAATTCAATAACACAAACACACATACGCTTGACTACTTATGTTCTGAATAATACGGAAATTGTTAACAAATCTGTTGATGAAACGAAATAGCGCGATATTGTTATTTATTATATTGTATAATAAAAACATAATTGGTGCAACACAATTATATATCAGTTGTCAATCGATAATGATAGAATATATGTTCAATATGTGTTCGCGAACAGATGTAGAATTTTGCTAAATTAAATATATTGATATCATTCATTTTTGATATATCAGTACGTTATGCATAGAAAGAAGTAACTGTGACATATATGCGATAAATGACATAATTGGCACGCGAGCCTATAATTAGTAGATATACACAAGTAGCTGATGTCTACTCAGACTTCGTGTCTACTCTGATATCATCTGACCTCGGATAATGTCACTGTTAGGTTTTCGAAGCGACCAGCGGGTATATTCCTGCGCTTTCTCTAAACTTAGACGATGTCTCTCGGACGAAGTGCCAACGTTCCTAGCAACGTTAACGAGTTTCACGTACCTCGTGCTATCGGTTTATCGTTCCCTAGTTTAGGAGGACCAAAATTTCATGCATTAAAACAACGGCTCCGTCTGTTACCTCGGAACATTTTATGAGAACGAAGTTCGCGTGCCAGCTCAGGCACAAAGTCACAAACTTACTCGAATACATTTCGCGATGCTGACCCTAATTAGATTTATATACTTCCATAGTTTCCGTTCGTTCCACGCGAGTGTAAGTAAATCAGCGACGGCGACAGTCGTGAATTCCTATTGACGTGCACAAGGTACCGCATCGGACAAGCGTCATCGCCGACGAATTAGATGCACGCCGAGGCAAATATAGCTGGAACAAGAAGACAGCGAGACGATGAGGGAAGAAGACTTGGCGACGCGCCAGCTATGAGGGTCAGACGACGATCGGCAAAATTCGCGAGATTGCAAGTCCTCGAGAGATCAGATCGTGTCGAGCGGCGTTATCAAGTCAGGATAAAACGTCATGGCGGCTCCTCTACGGACGCCGCTTTCGAGAGATAAGTATAGCCACGTTGCTGTACCGGTCAATAGTTTGAGCGCAGCCTACTTTGATGAAATAAGATTAAAAGTTTTCCGATATTGTCCTACTTCTGTAAATACACCACGTCGCCATAAGAGGTGGAATAAAGTGCAAAAGATAATGAATAATATACTATGACATATAGAATTTAAAAACCCAACTTCAAGTGTCTTACACATCTTGAACGTTAAATTTCAATTTGAGAAGCGCGCAAAACACACATTTTAGGTATACAGTAAACGATAAGTGGCAAACGAGAGAGATAGTTTTATTGAGCTAGCGAGTTTGTCGTTCAGATTAAATTAAATCTTTAATATTTGGATAAATGAGGACGGTGCAGCAAAAATAAGAGGTCTTTTGAAGTTGTTCTATGATTGCAGGAATGATTCCTGAATGGCCCTGGCCGACGTCCAAACCTGCTGGAGTCCAGACTTGCCCAGAAGCCCAAAACAGAATACATTGGTGGCGAAAAAAGTCAGAGGAAACAGAAGCGTCCCTCTTCTCAGTATGTTTTGAAATTATCAATTGCCATATCTCTCACAAAATGACTGGATCCAACCGGCGGGAAAGACATTGATGTGGCTGAGACGGAAAGAAAATATTTGGATAACAGGTACGAGTCGGCTTCTACTCTCGAGCCAAATATTTACACCATAATGATATCATAAGATCGAACGCGCACTAACGACCATGACTTTGTTCGACAGTACAATATGGCAGCATACTGTTTAATGATGAAAATTAAAATAAAATTAGAGATGATTTCACGTAAGAGAGATTTTGCTGCTGCTTACCAGAGAAATTAAAAATACAAGCGATTGCAATTTTTTATTCACAGAAGTTTTGCTATGCTTTTTTTTTTGTTATATAACTAAAGGAATAAGGATATAACTAAAGGAACTGTAGATCAAAATGTATCTCAGTTTTAAAGGTCGGCAGTCTATCAAACTGTTTTTTACTGAATTATATTGATTTATAGAAGTCATTAAGAGTGAGTCATTAGGACTATGCCATCAGGATAATGGAAACACGATAATCCGCGATGCATCCGCCGATTGGCTTTCGGCCCTGGCCGGTGTCCAGTCTGCTCAGAAGATCACGGTGCGTGCTCCACTAGCAGACATAATGCCTCTCCGGCCAAAAATGCGGCCAGACGTATTTATTTCGCGCGAAGGAGGCTGCCCGACTATCCGTTTACCCGTTTGCAGAGCTTCCAAAGTGCATTTTGCAACACGCGCGATCACGGCATTGGCGAGTCGAGTAAAGAGGCGTATAATTAATAAACGTCCGTGAAAGATCAATGTGTCCGCCATGTCTCCGAATTGTAACGTCAACACGACGACTTGAAAACACTCAACGTTGCTTGATTTCTTGTATTAACTATCGTTATTGTAAGATGTGATAAAATATAAAAAAAAAAAGGATAAAAAAACTTTCAATTTACGAAAAGTATAACTTAAGATGTACGTACAATTATAAAATTACAAAAGAGTTAGATGAATCTTGAATGTTTAGCCTAGAGACGTTCTGTTAAATGTTTAAAATATTAACAAGTATTATTAATTAATGAAAAAAAAAATCATGTAAGAGATGCTCGTAACCTGCTAATTGGATTAGTCTTGTACTAAATGTACGCGTAATTAGTAAGGTACTACTCTTTCCGTCATTAATCTTCAAGCGCGAGTTGATTTTCATCCTGCTGTAACTAAACGCAGACACCTCGGGGGAAAAAACACGTTGACGAGGGGACGAACCCCTGGATACGCCGTGACGTAGACGACATATCATCGTCGAGACATTAAAAACACGGATATAATGAGATTTGCCACGGAAATATTTTCTCGTACTGGGGACACAGTGGTTCATTTAGATCCGGTGAGAGAATTAGATTCAGAGGGTTGACAGACTGTCGGGTGACCCTCCAAAAACATCGGGGAAGATGCCGGATGAGGCTGACCCTCACGCATGGCTTTGGACGGTCAAGTATCGTTCAAACATCCAGGAATACGAAAAAATTTCTATGTCATACTTTAGCACGAATCCATGTAGGATCCACGTGTATTTATGTATATGTGTAGGCTAGTCTCTCTTACTTCTCAGCTTTCTAATGTCGAAATTCCTTTCCACAAGTCAATTTAATTACTCCCGGAGTTCACCAACTTGAAAAATTCTAAATTCTATAATTTGGTGTTGTCTCATCACAAATCTCTCGCATAACAATTCGATCAGATAAGTAAAATTGAACGCGGAGTTCGTTGGAAAACTTCGGAATTTAGCATCCCTGTCCATCGTTCTAACACTCGGAAGAAAGAATTAACAGCGCATTGTAAAACTTGGCAGATGTACGATCGTTGGCGAAAAGATCCGCGCATAGAAAGGGACATTGGCGTCTAACTGCTAGATGCGATTAATTACCGAGCCGGCGGACATTAATTACTCGTGCTACGACGAGCAGTATTGCACCTCGCGCACGATAATTAATTACAAGCAGAACGTTGGTAGGTGACGTGTTTCTAGAACGACAACGAGTACAGGCTAAATAAACTCTGACACTTGTCGCGAAAGGTCAGTGCTCCGTGAAGCAACTTTTCTACAAAAATTCCGTTCTCGATAATCTCATGGATGACGTAACTGATATAAGCGTCGAATTACGTGCTGTTTTCCCGGGAAACTTTCACTCTCAATCCGTAGGATGAAGTTTTCTGAGATAAGATCTACGAGAACTCCTCCCTCTTTTCGGATTATTCTTTTTTGTTATCACGCATATTCGTTCATGGAATTCTCGATTGACTGTAAAATATGTACGTACGTTTATTAACTATCAATAATCGTGACTTCATTGTAATCATGAATTTTTTTTTTTTTTTAGAAGAAATTTAGGCTTTTCACGAGCCAAGGATCAACGATTCGTAAGAGGAAACAAAACGGCTATTAAAATCGGAGAAAATTTTTCGAGAAGATAATTGAAGTTGAAATCTCAGATAAAGGTATCCATAGTCCGTGTGCCATTTTCGCAGATGTCTACAAAGGGAAGACGTAACATGCAGGGCAAAGAGCTGGAGCGTGTAACGAAAATTGCTTTTGCCGATGACCACGACGATGTGCTCCTCCTTCCCTTGTCATCGTCGAACTAAAACGTTCGTGTAATTACCCTCTGCTTCATTCCTTCCTGTGCATGATCTTTTCAATGGTTCTCCATTTTCCCCGTTTTTGAGTCCGTCAACCGAGACATCGCGTGAGACCCTTTCTTTGAGGACCTCTTTCACTCTCTGGTTAAATAAACCGACGATTAACTTACAGTTGTACCAACAGCAGTTCAATATATCACGCCTCTCTCTTCTTCTTCTAAGGTTCCACAAATGTAACATTAATTTTAATCTTGGTTTAATTTTCTCTTTAGCTTTTTTAATTCTTAAGAATTACACACAAAAAGATAAACACTAATTGTAAGTTGCACCGAGGCTTAATGCTCGTTTCTCTTAATGTTAACTTTAACTTCGGTTCAACTTACTCTTCATTTCTTCCTAATTCTAGAAACTAGAAAAAGATGAAGAATTAATTAGTTAAATCAAGATTAAACATAATCTACATTGATAGAAACGCGCATAAGACAATTGTTAATGTTACCGTCGGTTAGTTTAATCGAAAATTAGTGAAAAAGGAAATTAACTCAAAATATTTTGATAAGAATCAAAGGATTAAATAAAAAATGCTTTCCAATATAAGTTCACGTGGCTTCAATAAACAGACGACGTTTTCTCTCGCCAAGTAATCGATTCTTCCTAATCATTTGCAACGGAATTTATACCCATCTTTATCGTAGCAAAGATACTATTCTTACTTTAAAATTTATGACCAAGAATACAGTAGTCATGCAATTCCACGCAAATTCAATTCACTGCGTAATACCCAATAAACTTCGATGTAACATGAATCTGATTTGAGGTGCTCAATGCTGCAAAATACGCAATATTGTTCAATGATATCAACGATTGCGGTAAATACCAATTTCTCGACCTTTCCACAAACAGAAATTCCGATCTCGTCGGAGTAGTTGATAGAAAATCTGTCAGTTTATGCGACACGAAGATCGCAACGTAGTTTACGCAAAAAAAAACAACCTCGGATTCTTGGCATCGCGTCAAACGTTCGTATACGTTTCAGGACACATTGTCTGTCTCGTGTGCGGTCAAACGTGATTTCGAGAAAAACATCTCCGATGATACGCATTTACTAGCAGAATTGTAGAACATTCAAATCACTTTTCAATAGGAGAGAGATCGCGCGACGTTACATACAACTAGTAATGACAAATGGCCTTTGTAAGTCACCTCGATAGCGATATTATCTCAGCCATCGCGGTTAATCCTTAGATGTGGTTTGTCGTGGGTAAAACTTATTTCCGTAATAATAACTTTGATATAACAAAGAACGCTAATAACGTCCTTGTAACTCCGGAATCTTATCTTCCACGCGGTTCCGTTCTTCGTATCGATTCGTATTTGCGTCGTCGAATGATGACGTTCGTCGGACTTGGAGAAACCAATTAAACAAAAACAAAAGATGTTAGGCTCCGTTATTTTAAGTTCTCCGGACTTATACGAATAGCTGATGTAAAATAAGCTCGGCTTTCCCATTCCGATGGAAGAATTATATTACGTGCCAGAATGCTGTGACCAGCCACAATGTGTCGAAAGGCGCGGTCGGCCTCTCATAAATAATTCGCAGTAATTGTCAAAAAGAGAACACTGTAAGTGACAGTGAGGACCGCGAGTGACGCGTCTGAGATTTATCATCGCCATGCCAGCTAAGCAATTATTGTCTTTTTCTTGGAACTCCGGCAAATACAAGTTACCGCAGTCCAGGAGACTTAATACGGTTCTTAAGACGAAGTGAAAATTACAAAAAAAAAAAGAGCAAACTCCCTAGGTGTTAATCGATAAAGTTATAAATATTCAATCACTTTCGTAATTTTCACCTCGTTTCAAGAACCGCAGTAAATTCCCGAAGTGGCCGACGGTGAAAATGCTTAGACATTTTCATGTGTTAACGTAAAACGCAGTAAATCTAAGCGTATACTCATCGACGATCAACAAACGTCGACACGTTTTCAAAAATAGTTGCAGTATGTTTTCGATATTTTTTTTTAAAACAGCACGCATCTCGCAAACCTTTAAAAATCATACATTCTGAAATGAGATACGAACGATAAATGTGATTTATTCCAAACCGAACCAACGTGCCTCTACAAACGGATATCAATTGATATCTAGTGGGAGGCAGTTTGATGCGAGATTTTGAACGCACACTCGCACATCATGTACACATATACACGTAAATACGAGTTTTCCGCCCTCGATAATACATTATCTTATTACTGTTGCTTCTCCAATTTCAAATGATGTATATAATAGCGGGACACGCGACAATCTCAAATGTTAATGGTATAAAAAAAAATCTGTTCATATATATTGGGTCGCCGGACGAACGAATGTAAAAATAAACGCAAAAATTATTGATTAAAAAAAAAAGTATGTAAAAAGACATTCGAATTCGGAACGTAAAAATATGCGTAAAAAGGACATTAAATTCCTCTGTGCAATCTCCTATAAAATGCTTAACGTTCTGCACTTTGGATTAGTTTAAAAAAAAAAAAAAAAAAAAAAAAAGAGGAAGAATGCATGCAGAACAAATCGAGCGAGCGACGTTAAAACGCACGATAAACATGACCGACGATTCAGCTGATTTTCAACTCGCAGTTTAAACGTACGTACTCGATTAAATAAACTCAATGAAATTATTTTACACAGAGATGTAACGGGTAGCTTACTTTGCCCTGCATAATCAGGCGGATGGTCAGGGTGACCGAGGGATCATCGTTCAACACCGGTTTGTTGTCCATGCCGTCCATTGCGTGATTGCGGATCTTGTGGCTTCGATTGGAGACCTTCTCAACGTTCACGGAGGGGAAGGACGCGGAGGAGGGCAAGGAGGACAGGGGAGAGGTTAGGCGAGTGATTTTGATCGGGGGAGTCTCGGGGGATGTGCTCCTCAAGCGCTCCCAGGTAGTCTCGGTCCTCGTACTAAAATCAGAAATATCTGGGTTACAAAACCATCAACGTATGCGTACCTACTATTGTTCTTTTTTTTTCTTTTTCGCATACGCTTTTACATTTTGGCGGAAAGAACTTTTTTTTTTTTTAAAAAAAAATCCCCTTTGTATTTTTTAAAGATAAAGGTCATTCGGATAATTCGTACTATAGCGCTATTTTATTCTTGTAAATCGCTATTCGTTTTTCATTTAACAATCTTTTTTGTTACTTTTATTATTCGCCCTTTTACGTTCGAACTATGAAATGTCAACCTTTATTCAATCGCAATCAATAATATATTGTATTGATCATGATTGAAATGTTATATGCATAAATTGATAATGAAATTTATAGCATTAAATTTAATGCTACATAAGAGATTATATTATGGCGAAATTTATTTATCTGGGCGTTGAATTCACACAGAAATAAATAGAGTGAACTTCGGAATTGCATAACAATAGCGCGCGGCCAATCAGCCGTCGAGGAATGGCGATTTCGGGAATGCGATACACCACTGTATTAATTTAGTGTGAGTCGTTTGAGAATTACGGAACTATATCGAGTCTACGTAGCATAATTAACTAGATCTATTTTATGCACGAAGCGTCGTATTCCCCATGCTTCATTTACATTCATCAAATAAATTATTAAACTTATCGGTCTGCAATGATTATTTCGAGCTGAACGTAGAATTTTTTAACTCTCTAAGATTATTCAATATTGTAAATATAACGACGAAGAGACCATAACGTTGGGCTTGACGTCTTCTTTCCGCAAGCATAAAATATAGCATCATTCGTAACGCTTGTCGTCATAAGAATCGAGCGAAATAAAACATCAATTTCCCGGTTCACGGTCAATCTCATTTTGACGCGATGCCGCTTTCACTCGTTGAATCGGCCAACGAAAAGAAAATTTATTCTAGTGTAAAAAAAGAAGAAGAAGTGCTCGATCATTATTCATGGAATGCAACGTGACAAGGCTTTACATCTTTATGCCGACGAGCACTGCGTAAGAAAAAAATACGAAAATTTTTGAAATCTTGAACTCATTCTACAATCGCGTAGTTATAAAGTATAGTTATGCTCGCACTATAAATTACAGTTCTAGTTTTAGCTATAATCACGACGCAACTAGTTCGTGCTTGCTGTAACCTATAGTGTCATTACTGCTTAAGTGGTAGTTGTAAGATTTCTTCTTTGTCTTTTCCTAAT